GTTTTGATTTGCTTTTATGGGCGGTTGTTACCTTCAACAACTGCTTGATTTAGCCAATAATGTGATATGTCAATGGGAAGCGCTCTGCCAGTGAATTGCGATGTTTAACCCTTTGAATTTCAAATTGCGATTCTATTGTGATATCTGTGTGAGGTCATAACGGCTGCGCGCAATAATGCGGTAACGATCTTGAATTTATATCACCGAGACATAGTCGCCTCTAATAATTACTTCACCTCATCTTTCGTCTTACCTATCAACAGAAAACTCTCTGCGTGCAAGAACTATGTTGTGTTAGATTTGTGAATTTCGAAGATTTCCATTTAATCTTATAATTCTACCGCATTGACTATTTGACGTCATTAAATCAGCGCACAGCGATTTAGTCGGGGTGGAACTCATATATTTCGAAGGTGCTCAACTGTGTCAACTGTTTGCCGTCTTACTATCGAGTTCGAGTTCTGGAGGTATCTCGAGTGGTTTCGTAACCTGATGAATACTCTGGCTGAGAAAGGAGTAATTACTTCTACAAAAATCTACCTGTACCTTCTCCCATTCAGGCCATTCTTATTGTACGGCATATAGAGAGTGATTCTGAAGATGGATTGATGGTTCATCTGCGTACAGTAGCGCTGGCTTAGTTGCATTGCTAGGGTTAAGTAGCAGGAGCCTGTAGAGAATTATCCTATTCTCTTACGGACACAGCAGACTTTGGTAGATATAAAAATTAAGAAAAAGAGGTTGCCCTTTTAGTCAGCTCTCATGAGGGTCGAAGTGAATTGAAGCCGCATAGCGCACGCATCAAACAACATGTCTCGCACCTTCGGCATTACCACACCAACGCTGCATGCTGTCCCTATTATTCGCAGGTTAGCAAACCGTTACCTTCTGTCCAGCTGGTTGCACTGAAGCACAGTGTGATGAACTCCTTCATATAGGTTTTGAACATTAGCCGTTTTTTCAACACATTATCTTTCCGTGTGGGAACCGAAACAGCAGAGAGGCAAATAGGTAACATTGAGGAAAAATGCAGATACGCGCTTTCCAAGTGAAAAATTTCCTGTGCAGTAACCGTTGCTTCATACAAACGAGTTAAAAGGCTGCGGATATCACAAACAGGAGACATTCTACTTACGCTAACGTTTCTAGATGATGATATCAATAAGCTCATACCGGAAACAAGGAGGTATGTTTAAGTTTTCAAAAGGCTTGCAGATAACAACTTTTGTTCTTTGTAATGTTGACTTTGAAACACTCTCCATAGCCTATCTCCAAATGCTCCAGGTCACTGTTCTTAAACCAGCTTGTGAAGTAAGAACGTTTCATACCACCATATCGCGAGAAGACATTTACGAGTCGGGCAGCTGCATTATGCTTCCTAAAACACCAGAGCTTCTTCAAAATGTTTCTCTGGAAAGGGCGGGAGATTTACGCCATGAAATTTGATTTTTCCAAAGAACTTAGTCACATCAGGTTGTAACTGAAAAAAAAACGGTTAACTGGTGAAGATGCCAAGTGAAGGCCTGGCGAACTTCGTAACACAATCGGTCACCCTATTTTCATGGTGAAGTTACAGACGGAGGCTCTTAGCAACTTTTTCGCACCATCGTAGATACCTTGACGACATTTGTTATGGTGACAAGCAACGGTCTACAGTTCTTCCCGTATCGATCCATCCAGTTCACGATGGAAGTGGAAAAGGACAGTTCGGTCTTGCTTTGAGACCTGAAAGTATGCAGCGAAAGCGATGGATCCTCAGGCTATCACAGCAGAACACTACCTACACATCCGTTTTAATCTTACGATATGCAGGATAACAGGTGCGGTCAAAAGCTTATATGAAAGAGCCATGAGACTAATGCCCGATCGTTCAACATAAAATCCACCACGTGACAAACGGGCACCTGCAACAGTTCAAAAGAGTGGTAAAGAACCGTAACAACAGTCGATGGTCAGCCACAAACGCGGAAGCTCACTTGGACATCGACCGTCTGCATTCCCTATAATCCCGAGGTTTCACAATCGATTCAACCGGTAGCGCAAAAGAAACACTTCAAGACAAAGGATAAAATAACGAACGACGACAACCCTCCACCATATTTGTACCCATCATGACGTCGATTTTAACTACCCAACCATAGTAACAACGGTTAGAGGTTAGAAGTGCCGAAGTGCTCTTGATCCAGCAAGACCCAGCGTCAATGTACAGAGATGGAAGAGTTTCTCTCTTTCATGGTGTAACTCGCATTACCGTACCTCTGTATTTAATACTTATTGTGTGCAGTTCAGAAGCGCTCGTAACATTGGTAACGGCACCAAAAGCACCTGCGCCACGTTTAATTTCAAACAAACAGTGTCTTACTCATGAATTAGCTGTGTCAAGTATCTCTATACATACTGTAACTAATCCCATTTTTTGTTAAGCTGCAAGTGATATATATACCACGTAGTCATATTTTCATAACTTGGCAAAAACGATACAGCGCATTGTGTTTGCAATAGGTCGAAAGCTGGCATTCGAACTCAAAGCGACACTTCGCAGCCGTTTGAGCCATTTGCAGCCCTAAAGACGAAAGAGGCAGAAACAAGCTTTCCAACTCATGTGATTCAAAATGCCTAGGTGAAATAGGCAGCACCCTTGAATAAATTAAAACAAGGCACGCACAAAAAATCTCATAAACGTCAAGAACACTCGATGCCAGAGGAACAGGTCTTCAGCCCGTGGTCAGAAGCAGGAAGTAATCACACCGTCCGAAAATATAACTATTATAGCGGGTTATGAAAATAATGCACAATAATAAACATGCCCTGACCCATTAGCACACGATGCCTTAGGAGAAAATAAAAGTTGTCACGAGATAAGCAAAGGGATATTGATTTCTTTAACCATCCGTGTTAGGCGAGACTTTCTGACATGGCAGCAACAGACATTGAAAACATTAAACAACAATCGCTTGCGCTAAACGACAAGCGCAGAAGCAGTCATACGCATGTGTCCAACTTGCATGCAAATAGTACCCTGTGAAACTCATTGTTTGTCTGAGGAGAGACCGCGTTTGAATCGAAACGTCGAAGTTTTTATAGGATGCTTGTAGGCATTGATTTTATTCATTCTCCTTTTATTCGTCACGTTCCGGAAACCATCATCCTACCTTATATATTCATTTACCTAACCAAGTTGATGGTCTAGTAATTCTTCGCAGAAGATACTTGTAGGTCGTTTCGCGAAGGAAACCATGAAAAATATGTAAAACGGTTTAATTATACACAAAGTAAACAAATAAGTTGATAAGTGGGGTGAGTGACCAGTACCAATATTTCATCTCAATTTCTCACGACTCTTCTTCAGGGTGGTCCGGATTGACTTCTGCAATTGCCTGTGCAGTCAGCAGCTTTATGAGCCTGGAGTCAAATGTGCGATTTTGGCTCATATTGCGGTTGAGCGTTTTCTTGCTCACTGGCTTTTACAAAGTCTCTGCATCCTGTGCAGAGTTCGTATCAATTGACCCGATTGACATCTTGTACAGTTTGATAAGTGGTGCTTCACTGAGTGACGGTATTTCCGGTTTCTCACATCTAGTATTTTCTGCAGTCGCATGGCTGTTTGCAAATCCAGCCCAAAGGGTTGTCATTATTACAGTCAGTTAAGAAAGTATGAATTAACGAAGTTAATAACAAAATTATTAACAAGTACTGGTGAAGTTTTTATATACAACATAGTGTTCAGTGTTATGCAGTTCGTTAATAACAATAAATCGTACAGATACTAATTCCGGAATTTACAAACTACCTTAAGGCTGCGAGAAACACTATATAGATGTAACTGGAAACATAGTCACACAAAAAACAAAACATTACCTGTCAAACTTGACATAACGGATGATTTCAGACAAATCTTAAGTACATGCGACAACAAACAATCCCTCCTCCTAACAAAGTCAAAGAACAATGTGAAAGGCGTTAGGAATGGCGCAGCACGCTGCAGAGAAATGCCACATCCCACAATTACCCAATCCTGCGA